AGCCTGGAGCGTGGTGGCCACCACTTGCTTGCCCAGGCCACCGAGAAATTACAGCGTGACTCCAGCGGTTTCTCAGATAGTCTTGGGCTGAAGATTGGCCTCGAACGGTTTCTGTAGAGGATATTTGAAAGTTCTGGAGATGAGGCATGCACAACTCTGTAAGTGTCCTCCGCGGCACAGAACTGTACACCGTGAAAGAGTAAAATGATAGAGTTCATCTTATGTATAGTTTACTACAGGAAAAAAAAACAAACCGTTGGAGGCAATCTTAAAATTAACTTTCATTGCCAGGCGGTGGTGGCACACGCCTTTAATCCCAGCACTCAGGAGGCAGAGGCAGGCGAATCTCTGTGAGTTCGAGGCCAGCCTGGGCTACCAAGTGAGCTCCAGGAAAAGACACAAAGCTATGCAGAGAAATCCTGTCTCGAAAAACCAAAAAAAAAAAAAAATTAACTTTCATTTTTTATTATGTTTGTATCTATTTTGTGTGCATGCATGCACAAGTGTGCACACACATAAGCTACGGCACATGTATGGAGTTAGAGAACAACCTTCTGGGATCTGTGTTGTGGATGCTGGGGTCAAACTCAGGCTGTCGGGCTTGGGGGTGAGTGCCTTCGCCTACAAACCCTCTCAACAGCCCCACACCAATGCTTCACAGCTTTTGTCAACACACTGAGGCAGCCAGCCGTTTCCCAGGGAACACCTACTGAAGTGGGGGGGGCGTGGAAAGGGGGTGTCACAGAAGGAGAGAGAGGGGGAGATGAAGAGGGAGAGGAGGGGAGGGGAGGAGGAGGGAAGGGGGGAGAGAAATGGGGGAGGGGAGGAAAGGAAGGAGGGGGAGAGGTGGGAAGGAGCGGGGGAGAGGAGGGAGGGGAGGAGGGAAGGAAAGGAGTCAGGAGGAAAAGCGGGGAGAAGAGGGAAGGGAAGAGCTGGCTCTCGCCCATTCCTGGTGCCTTTGGCTTTGTAAGCTCAAAAAGGAAAGAAACTCCCTGAGTCTCAACCACGGTCAGAGTACAGGAATTTGTTCTCTAAAAGAGAACAGGAATCTGTTCTTCAGAATTGTTTCTCATCCACAGCTCCCAGTAGCTGGTAGACTCAGAATCTTGTCTAGTGAGAAGTCTAAGGATAAATCTCCAGGAGAAAGACGGTCCAGTGGTGGTAAGAACGATGGCAAACCGGCAGACTCCTCAGGGTGTCTTCG